GTTTCATGACAGGTGTGATAACCCTAATTAAGACATTGACTATTTAGCTTACTGAGCCATCCGAAAGCAAGTGGTACTTTTCTTTCTTTCTTTTTTTATTTTGAGACAGGGTCTCTGTCCTGGTCCTAGCTGTTCTTGAGCTAGCTATGTAGACCAGGCTGTCCATGAACTCACAGAGATCCACCTGCTGCTGCCATGAATGCTGGGATTAAAGGCATACTCACCAAGCCCAGCTGCAAGTAATAATTTTTTAGGCATCTAGTTAGGAATTTTGAAACTATGTAGTAAAAACGGTTCTTTTGGTTTGTGTTTATATCTAGTGCTAAAGGTGACAATAAAGATTTGAGGTGCTAATAGTTTCTTTCAAAGATGATTTTGAATAGGGGTGGTTTTAGGTTTTATGATGGCTTCATTTTTGTTCACCAATGTTACTTATTTATTTCCCAATACTCTAATTAGTAAAGGTCTTTCAATGAAATGTGTATCATATTCTAATATATTGAGCAAATATTTAGATAGCATTGAATTAGATTAGATTGAATGGAGTATCAGTTGTTACTATTTGTAGAATAAATTTACTCAGTAAAGAGGAAACCAAAGTAATCAGCACGGGAAATGTCTTAGTTCTTTTAATGTCCTTAATGCTATGAAAAGACTAGTTCAACTGTAAATGCACACGGGTTGTTTGATTTTGCAAGTGCATTGCATTTTTATATTAATAAAAGCTCCCAGAACTTAAGCAGAAGTGGTTCTACTACTTTGTGTACTGATAATTAGCATATTAAATCTAAGGGTTTTGATAAGTTAAAAAAGTATTTATTTTGGACCCTTGCTAGCTGCCATGGCCAAAATGTCTGCAGGTATGTATGCAGGTTCAAGTGCTGTCACTGGTAGTAATTGGCAGACACAAGCAAGTAGATGAAGTGGCTAACATCATGAGAGCCAGAGTGAATAAGGTGTTAGAAAGAGACCAGAGCTCTCAGTTAGACCACTGAGCAGGTGCACTTCAGGCTGATACTTGGCGTTTTGAAACAAGTGCTGCCAAGTTGGAGAAAAAGTATTGGTGAAAGAATTGCAAGATGGGGCAATAGGGGTCAGCATCCTGGTGATTGTCATTGTCATTGTTGGCATCATCATCATCAGCATATCATTATCATCATCATCATTGTGTGGTACGTCTCTTAAAAACCAGGAAAACCATAGCCCATTTGTTCAGGAACGTCTTCAAGACTTTAATTTAGAACCTGCTATGTTACCAAGCTTACTGTCTGAGGGTTTCTATTGCTGTACAGACACCATGACTACAGTAACTCTTATAAAGGAAAACATTTAATTGGGGCTGGCTTACAGGTCAGAGTATTAGTAAAATCCATGATGAGAAGGATGGTAGCACACAAGCATATGTGGTGCTCGAGAGACAGCTGAGAGTTCTACATCCAGATTGGCAGGCAGCAGGAAGAGAGAGCAGCACTAAGCCTAACTGAAGCATTTGAAACTTCAAAGCTCACCTCTAAGTGACACAAGTCCTCCAGCAAGGCCACACCTCCTAATAGGGCTACTCCCAATAAGCCTGTGGGGACCATTTTCATTCAAACAAACCACTACATTTACTGTTGCTTTCAAATGGTTATTTTTGTTAGTTTACATATACACATTCCAAGGCCTAGGAAATGGGATTTTGTTTTTAATAGATTCTCAAAACTGGAGGTGTGGCCAACCCCACACACATCTTGCACTTTTTAAAAAATGTATGACTCATGTGTTTAATTGGAGTTGCTTACATGAGCATGGGTGGATAGGTTATTGATTTTAGTAAGGGCTTAACAGTGGCTACACTACTGAGATATTGTCTTCCTGTCAACAACCTCTAAATAAATGCCTGTGGCATTTTAGGGAGGGAGGGAGCTTCATAAGCTCCTCTCCCAGGTGTGATGGAATGTTTGCCAGGTCCTATGTTGCACAGGTCTTGTGCAGTTAACTATAACTGTGAGTTTATGGGCTCAATAGCCATGTCATCTCCAGAAGATAGAGTTTCATGGCACTACTCCCCTCCTCCATCTCTTCTGTTCTTTCCACTCACTATTCCATGATGTTTGCTAAGCCCATAGATTTTTATTCCTGTTTAGGGCTGAACATTCAGCAGTCACTTAGTCTCATCACTTTGATCTTTGTATTCACCACTGCCCAGTGCAAAAAGAAGTTTATTTGACCAAGTCTAAGCTCAGCACTAGCTTGTGTTTATAAACATAAATATTTAGAGGACAACTTGACAAATGTTTCTTAGCCAACATCTAGAGTTGGTTCCTCCTCAGGCCTATGACCTTCCCAGCTATGGGCTTTTGACCAGGTTTACAGTGTCAGATATGATTTCCTTCCCACAGAGTAGGCCTCAAGTCCAATCAGAAATTTGGTAACAGTCACACAATGTTGTACAGTGGGTACATCTTGCCTGACAGGTTGGCATTGTAGCCTACAAGGTTCCAGTGGGTAAGACTTGATGACTTTCCTCCTCCAGCAGCCCACTAGTACTGTGAAAGCTAGCCAGCAGGGAGGGGGTGTCCAGCTCAGTTCTAGATTGATTTCTCTATGTCTTGCAATGGTAGTGTGTGATGTCTTGGTTCTTGATGAGTAGGGCTTTCCCATTTATTTCTGGTAGGCAACCAAGAGCAATGCTAATAGACTGCATTGTTTTGGGACCATTTACCAACAACTCCAGAAGGTCCCCATACCCAGCGCTGGGATTTCTATCTTAATAACCTATAGCTTCTGGGAGCAACATTATTTGTCCATGTGGGATACTTCCATTTTCTTTTTAATTATATTTTTTAAGTAGCTTATGAAGTGGTAGGTCTCTGTAGGATTTTTAAATATATCCTCAATATTGGTTAACTCTTCCCCTAACCCATTCCTTTCCCCATTTCCTACCATACTCTTGCTTATTTAAAAGATTGATGGAAACGAAGTTTCTGGTTTACAGGACTTGAATTCTGAGTGTTGGTGTGTTGTCCCTGTGCATATGGTAAATGCATGTGAGTGAGTATGCAGGTGTGTGTCCACATGCATGTGGAAGCCAGAGGGATATCAGGTGTCCTCCTCTGTTGCTGTTGGCCTTACTCCCTTGAGACAGTTTTTGCCCCAAATGCTGGGTCATGGGCACATGGAGGCATGCCACCCTTTTTTTATGTGAGTGCTGGGATTCTAACTCAGGACCTCAGGCATGCAGAGCAAGTACTTTTACCCACTGAGCCATCTTCTTAGCCCCAGGACTTGAACTTTTTTTTTTAAATTTTATTTATTTATTATGTATACAAGATTCTGCTTCCATGTATATCTGCACACCAGAAGAGGGCACCAGATCTCATAACTGATGGTTGTGAGCCACCATGTGGTTGCTGGGAATTGAACTCAGGGCCTCTGGAAAAGCAGTGGGTGCTCTTAGCCGCTAAGCCATCTCTCCAGCCCAGGACTTGAACTTTTTAAGGCTCTTGTTGACTATTGAAAAATTGCTTCCCAGAAAGATTTTTACTAGTTTACATGATTCAGAACAGTATATCAAGATAGCCATTAGAGATTTTTTTTTTATATTATTTATTTATGGTAGGAAGCTCAAGCATGCCACTGTGGATGTGTGCAGTCAGAGGACAACTTACAGGACTCAGTTCTCTTCTGCTATGGAGATGCCAGGGACTGAACTCAGGTCATCAGGCTTGACAGCATGCACCTTTACCCATCAAGTCATCTTCCTTGAATTTTAGAATCTGGAGCAACACAATTGGCCAACATTAAAAAAAAATAACTATAACTTCCTTAATAAAAGATGACGGATAGCTCATTTTAATTTGATTTTTTTTTATCAGTATAAAGAATTGTGTTTCGGGGCTGGAGAGATAGCTCAGAGCACTGACTGCTCGTCCCGAGGTCCTGAGTTCAATTCCCAGCAACCACATGGTGGCTCACAACCATCTGTAATGAGATC